TCCCATGGGAGGATGTGATTGGCTAGTTTGAATAATTCCACCCTTTGGCAAGGAACTATAATCCTATAATGATTCAGGGCTAAGTCAGAACTGTCTCTGTGATGAAGAGGGATGTTTGGCTAGGGGACCTTACCTGAGGGGGCAGGTATGGGAGTAGGAATGGCAACTTATAGTTAGGCCATTTGGGGAATTCTTGGTTTTCCCCAGATGACAAGGCAGAACACAGATTTAGTCCTTATACCATAGTGGTTTCACACTGAGTCACAATCAACAGCATAGCATGGGTAGAGGGAATGGTCACATTTTCCAAAAGTTTCACCACTTTTTCAGTGGCTGTTAGGATTATGATGAAAAGACATCAGCAGAAGCAATATGGCATATATAACTGACACAAAAACACGTGACGACCCTGTTAGGGAAGTTAGTCAAAGGGTGAGCTGTTTCTTTAACTCACTCACCAACCGGTGTCACTCCCCTGCTCCCTTACTCCTGTGTAAGAACCAGGGGGAGGGATTGGGTGTGAATCCCAAATCCCATCGTGGATGCAGGTTGCCTCTTCTGCCTTGGCCGCTTGCCAGCTCTGTTAGTAGGGACCTCTCTTACTTGGTGGACTCTCTTAACTTCTCATCAAATAGAAATGTCCCCAACCACATCACCCTTCACATCACTTGCAAGCCGTCGCTCACATCCTTTCTCCCACTTAGGATGCCTTTGTTCCACCTTTCATTTGCTGGGGTCTGTTCTCTCAGGTGCTTATTATACCTTGGGCCTCTCTGACTGCCCCAGGCTTTGTGGGGTACTTATTTTTCTGGTTCAGTAGCCCTGAGTATCTTTGCACTGCCTTTAACATTTAACATACTCCTAACTTTTAGTTCTCTTGTTAGAAAATAGTCCCTGCCTTTATCCTAATTACTATAGTTATTTCAGCTCTTTCTGACTTTATCAGTTTAGGAAAGTTTTATTCAGCAGGTAAAAAGAGAAGCAACCAATAGAATTTACAGTTTGAACACTATTTATAACTCATTCTATTAATGATCTGCACCCAGTCCCTAAAATAACATATGATACATAATAAATCCTCAATAGATATTTATTGAAATAAGTGGTATAGCAGTTTTATATATATAAAAATATGTGTATTCTTGTATATATGTGTATTTGTGCAAATATGTGTGCATGTGTGTTTGTCTAAATGTGTAGTCATCCCAACGACATTATTTCTGGTGGCCTTTATTTGGTGTGATACTGCTGAGTTACATATTGCATAATGAGGAGGTAAAGGGAAGAAATGATGTTGGGTCAACCCTAACTTCATTTGACTTTTTTTTTTGAAGATTTTATTTATTTATTTTTAGAGAGAAAAGGGAGGGAGATAGAGTGAGAGAGAGAAACATCAATGTGCGGTTGCTGGGAGTTATGGCCTGCAACCCAGGCATGTACCCTGCTGGGAATCGAACCTGTGACACTGGTTTGCAGCCCGCGCTCAATCCACTGAGCTACGCCAGCCAGAGCTTCATTTGACTTTTTTTAAAAAAATTTCAACAGCTTTGCTACAATGACAAAACTGACTTGGGAACCTATATTTTATTTGGAGGTGATTTTAAGCTTACTGGAATGCTTTTCTATTTGTACTAACAAAAGTTTTTTGTCTGCATTTCTTTCTCTAATATTATTTTGTATTGGTTTCAGGTGTGCAGCATAGTGATTAGACAATCGTATACTTCCAAAGCATTCCCCTTGATATTTCCAGTACCCAGCTGGCATCATACATAGTTATCACAGTATTATTTACTATATTCCCTATGCTGTACTTCACACCCTCATGATTATTTTGTAATTACCAACTTGTTCTTCTTAATCCCTTCATCTCTCCTACTCAGTTTCCTAACCCTGCCCCCTCACCTCTGGCAACCACCAGTCTGATCTCTGTGAGTTTGTTTCCATTTTGTTTGTTTTGTTCTTTAGATTCCACATATAAGTGAAATCATATGGTATTTGTCTTTCTTTGACTGATTTATTTCACTGATCATAATACCCTCTAGGCTTATCCATGCTATTGCAAACGGTAAGACTTCATTCTTTTTTATGGCTGAGTAATACTATTTATGTATGTATATATACCACAGATTTTTAATCCACTTGTCTGTGGACAGACACTTGGGTTTCTTCCATATCTTGGCTATTGTAAATAACACTGCAATGAACGTAGGGGTGCATGTATTCTTTTCAGTTAGTGTTTTGGGTTTCTTTGAATAAATACCCAGGAGTGGAATTGCTGAGTTATAAGGCAGAAATGCAAATTAAAACCACAGTGAGAGCCCTGGCCAGGTAGCTCAGTTGGTTAGAGTGTCATCCCAGTACACCAAGGTTGTGGTTTGATCCCCTGTCAGAGCACATACAAGAATTGACCAGTAAATTCATAAGTAAGTGGAACACCAAATTGATGTCTGTCTCTCCCTCTCTCAAACCACGCCCCCCCCCCACCCCCCCCCACACAATGAGATATTACCTCATATGTGACTCTGGAATGTGCAATTCCATTAGGGAAATAAAGTAACAGTAAAAAGTTTTTTGGTGAAACTAAATAGAAACATTTTTCTGGTGCAAATTGTGAAACAATTTTATATTGTTGGCATATTATTGTATATAACGGTAACTTTTTCCTGATTTTTCCATGTAATGTTCATCCTTGAAGTTCTTAGTTGTAGTTTTTTCCACTTAAGTGTGGTAAATATGAAAGCAGCCAAAGGAAACACAATCAGCAAGTCATAATGAGCAGCATTTGCAAAAGAAGTATTGCAACATCCTGAGGATGAATTGGTTTTGTTCAGTTTGGGCCAGGAGTAGAAAGCAGAGGAAGAGAAAGATCATAGAAGTTCATATTTACATGTTGTGAGTTGGCAGTGAGAAAGAAACTCCTGAAGGCGAGGGTAGTGGGATGAACTCTAAGTTTGGGAGAAGTTACGTACTACATTCTTTGTTATGGGACTCCGAATAAAATCACAGTCAAGAGAGGAAAAAGAAACCAGATTTGTCAACGGCAGAGAACAGGATTCCGTGGTTTAAAAGCATTCTTCAGTTAATGCTGCTTCTCTTCCTTTTCTCTGTCATCCTTATTCTTCTCCCTTCATACTTGCTGGAATCGTTAATTTAATGGGAGTTCATGAGGGTGCTTTTGGTAGTGGTATCTGGCTTGGCATTGTGCAGCTTTTATGTTTCCGAAAACTCTTAGGGCAAATGGATTGAATAAGCACTTTAAAAAAGACATTTCCTTCTAAAAGAGAAATTATCCTTGATGTGACATCTTACCTGAAAGCGTAATTTGATATACTCCCAGTGGAGGATGTTCTGTACATATAAGAAAACAACATAAAAATAAGAAATTTTTGTTTAAAAAGCGATGGCATTAAATAATTATCACTTCAACTATGTAGACCCTTGCCACGTGGAACTGAAGGAACAGTTCCCTAATCAGAGGGAATTTATTTCTAGGCTTTACGTTTCTCCATTTTTATTCCATTGTACTTGAAAAAAGTTATTTTCTAGAAGGAAGGCTTATTGTAGAATCAAATCTGATGTGGAAGTGATGGCGTGGGGAAGTAGTCTTGACACTGTTGGTTGTTGTTGCAGCTCGCTCTCCTTTTGCTTCGATCTTCACATTGTGATGTAACTGCACAGGAAGGCATGGAGGAAATACCGTGTCCTGTTTCTGTAACCCCAGTGCAGACAGTGTTAGGACGCTGTCTTCCTGACGGTGGGAAGGAAATGGAAGAGCCCCGAGCTCAGTGACTGTCATTGGTAAAGAATCCATATTTCATGATTAGAAATCTGAAATTATCTAGGTGGATTGCAAAGCCGTTTACAACATGAGGAAAAGTAGGTAAATCAGCAGTTTTTCTCTGTTTAATCGTGTAGAGATGAACATGTAAATGTGGATACAAATGCCATCTTTCCCGATTTTGCTGCTAAAGTCACTATCGTTCCTTTAAAATAAGATTTTTGTTAACATATTTCTGTTTCAGTTGATGTCCTTCTCATTTTGCTGGTGATTGTTCATGAAACCTTGACGGAAGACTAGAGGTTTTCCTCATCTCTTTACCCTAGCCCTGGTGATATTTCTTCTTCTTACAGTCAGCCCTTCCTCGCAATTCCTGATGTAGCCACCCTGGTTCAGGCTGCCTGCACTATTGAAATTACCTTCTAGATCTCCTTCTACTACTTCTGTCACTATGCCCACCCCCAGTTAGTTCAAGATTAATCTTCCTCCCAAAGCTTCAGAAATCATAAATCTTCTCCGCTGTTTACCATTCGGGTATGTGGGAAGCTCCTTTAACTTGGACTTAAGCTGTGAGATCATCAAGGGGCTCTCACTGATGCTAATAAATAGGAATGGCCTTTTCCCTGGTAGATGGAGGAATTGGGCAGTGGCTGTGCTTACAAGGTTTGATTGACAGAAGAGGTATCATTCTCTTCCCTAGCGCACTAATAAGAAAGAAGTACGGTAGTGACATCCAGCTTGGAGATCTACTGGAAAATTTGAGTCTCCCTGTTGAAGGCTTATAGGATCAATATAAACTCGTCAGCTGTTTTTCATGCCCCTTGACAGCCTGGCGCCTGTCATCTTCTCCAAACTTGTTTCCATTAATTACTGATAGGAATCTCCTGCTGCAGCCAGAATGTTCTTTTTGTTTTCTGAATACAAACATTCTCACTTCCACATCATTGATTGTGATGCCTCTTCTCCTTTAAGCCATATACTCTTTTCAGTATTCCCATCAAACCCTTCTTTATGATCATCAATACCATAAATACGCACTGTCTAAATGTTCCTGAATGTTTCATTGCTTTTTAATATTACTTTCGTTTAATCAATAGAAACTTACGTGTCAAGCAGTATGCTGGCGATTCAACTGAAAACAGTTTCCTTGTCCTTAGGAGTTTACATTTTTGATTTAATGAAGTGTTAGTTTTCAAAATGTACAGGTAGGGGGATTTGTTGTTCATGCATCTTCAGCAGCAACTGGGGCAACCCCACCTTTAGTGTTCCTGGTGTAAATTACTTCAGCTCTGTGGTTTGAAATTAGTTTGACAAGTGCTTTACTAAGGAGCTCCTGGCGGGCCGCCCTGGCCAAGGAACTGCAGATCTCCAGTCTCTCTGAGGCAACAGCTGGGGTTACAAGCCTGTCATTGGGAACTTCCTTACAGAGCTTGTTGTATGTTGCTCTGTCAAACAAGACTAGGTTATTGAGCTTGTCCTGAACTTTGCCTTTCGGCCACTTCTTCGTTTTGGCCTTGCCCCCAGATTCGTTCACTGGGTCATTGTCTGTTTTCCATGACTTTCCAGGAGCATGGAGAACCCCAAAGAGTGGCTGCTACCACTGCTATCTCGAGAAGATGTTGGACAAAAAGGAGTTTATACTTTAAATTTACCACCAGGGGCAGTCGAGGAGGATCAGCTATGATTCAGAGTCAGGAAAATTAATTTGGGTTTGGAGGAGTGGTCAGGGAAGGTTTTCTGTAGGAAAGCAGTTTTCAGAACTAAAATCTCTGAACGTTTTATGGCAGCATGGTTTGATCCGTGTCATTGTAATATTTAAAGCTTTTCCCCTTGTTCTTAAATGTTAACTTTGTAAACATTTTATATCCCTAATGGTTACTCTCTTCATAATAATAGCTTCCCAAATGTTAAGAAAAACCTCTCAGCTCCCCTTTTAGACAAAATAAACGTAATTTCCTCAAAGGTACCACAGCTCTATAACTGATTATTTGAAATTTTTATATTGTTGAGTCCAAAAGAATGCACAGATAGGCTGATCCAGAAACACCCAAATTACTAGGATTTTGTTACAACCAGCTTCTGACTCAGTGGGGTGTGGTTGGACCTGAGGTTTTATACTTCTGAGAAGCCCCCTGGTGATGCTGAAGCTGCTTGTAGATTGAACACGTTCTAAGTGGCAGGGTTTGAGAGACTACTAAGAGACCAGCAATCAAGGTAAAAACAAGTGAAGCTCTGTGTTTCATCTATTTATATCAGGGGATCCTGCAGACTGTAGATCTGCTAACTCTCATGTACTCCTGTTAATCTAAATGAACTGATTACCCAGCTGGGGTGGGCTCATCTCTGGGCACCCAGAGGCAGGAAATCCTGCCAGGGATCTGACTAGAAATCTTCTGTTTTTCACCTGTATCACTCACTGGGGAATGAGTCTCCTTCATGTCATAGGGAATGTGATAAGGTGTGCACCCACCTGATTGAGGCTATAGGATTCCAGAAGGCCCTCCAGGCACTGAGTAATAGGAAACCCCATCGTCTTTGGCGGGGGAAGTGAAAAAAAATTTTTGTTTTTGGCATTCTGCCTTTATCCAACTGGTTTGTTTAACAGTTGGGCTCCAGGAATGGCATCTGAGGCAAGTCTGTGTCCTACAGGAACTGGCAGAAAAATTTATCTTGAGCTTTTAAGATTCCCATTAGCAATTTCCGTAATTTGTGGGATTCTTGGCCGTTGAGTGACCTGCCTATGACTTGCTAAGGTGCCTGCCAGAGTGAAATGCAACTCTCTTTATGCTGCCTGAGTGCTTCCCCTGATGATTTTTGTGGATTTTTTACTAACTTCTGTTCTGCAGATATTTTTACAGACAGGAAAGCAGTTCTCCCGGGCAATTTGTTCCTGAGTCTTACAACCAAAGCTAGAAAGTATTATTTCTGTCATCTTCCTGGGGAACTTTGCTATGGAATTCCCCCCACGGATTGGATTGCAGCAGTGGTTTTTAGATTCAAGAGATCTGTCTGGATACTAGGCGGGAAATGATGATGTCAGGCTGGCAAGGAAGAATTGGTAATGGCCTGATACAGTGGTTTCACACTTGAGCATGTATTGCCTAGGGGCTCTGTACCCCTAGAGTTTCTGAATCAGCAGACCTGGAGCAGAGCCCGAGATTTCGTTAACATCCTCTTTCCTTTTCATGTCTTTTTTTTTTTTCCCTTCCCATGTCTTAAGATGTGGTTGTAAAAAAGGAAATTGGTTATAGTCAGGGAGGTGGGCACATATCACATTAGCACGTGCATTGTTGGTTGCGATAGCCATCATTTCCTCCCAATCCTTGTATGTTTCTTAGCTAAACAAAACAGAGAGACCCAATGAAGCAGCACCTATTTTAATGTTCATTTTGTGGTAACCTGGCCCATATCCTGTGAGACTTCTTGGTTTATGCTAATAGAGACCTCATCTTCTAGAGTAAGGATAGATTGAATCATTGGATGGGGGCAGCTGGGAAACTTGCTTCTCACTCACCTTCTGATCAAGAAAATACGTGGTTTTCAAAGTGATTATTTTAAAATGAAAATGAGTATGTGTTTTGACAGCTGAGATGGGGAAACAGAAAGGGAAGTTTGATTGATGTGGTTCTTTCTATCCCACTAAGTCCCTTAGATGTACCTTGCTTACATCACATGAATAAGATGGTTGATTTTGTTTGTTTTTTTTTTTGGTAATACTCCTTGTTTTTAAAGGTAACTATTGCTACCTTTAAACTATTGCTACTTTCTATTGAAGCAGTTCTGGAGTATCCCAGGAGGGACACAATGATCTGGACCTTGGCCTTGGAGACCTTCCTTCGGACGAGGAGGAAGCCATCAACAGTTCTGACGAAGATGATGTCAGCTCTAGTTCTAGCAAAGGGGAGCCTGACCTGCTGGGAGATAAACAGGTATGTGTTGCTATTTAATCGTGTCTACCTGTGTGCTTGTTGGTCTCTCATGAAACTCAGAAACAATATTTATCAGTATAATAGACACAAAATCCCCAGTTTTCTTAAAATTTATCATTTTTGAAAATTTAAACTTAATTTCTGTGAAGAGAAGCTCGCATAACATCTGGCTATGAAAATCAGCAGGAATTCTGTCAGTCAGTCCAGGTAAGATAAGAAGCCTGCTGGAAACCCAGGTATTCTCTTAAAGGGCCCGCACACAAACTCTGCTCACAGGCACTCACATTGCTCTCTGGTGTTGAGACAGTGGCTCAGGTGGGCGTCTGAGACATACAGGGAGAAACTGAGTTGTGTGGCTGCAGGGTGAGGGTTGGAGGGACGTTTGCCATTGTCCCTGTGTTGAGTATTCCTCCAGTACAGTTAACAGGCACCGTTTCTTCTTTGTTGAGCCTTCCCTGACGTGGAGTTCCCTGGTGAACTCCGCTAGCTCTACTGACAACTACCGGAGACCCTGCCCCACCCAACTCATGCATGGCCCTAGGCCCTTTCCTCCGCAAACCAGTTTGGGCCAGCATTGCAGTTTTTCTTAAAAAAACTTTTGAGGAATTCTGGTCAAGTTGGCTGGGGGTGGGGGAGTGGTGGCTGGGGAGTGGAGTGGGGGTGGGAAGAGGGGATGTCAGAGACACACAGGGAACAACTGAGATACATGGCTTCAGGGCAAGGGCTGGAGGAACAGCTTCCCTTTTCCCTATGTTGAACCATTTCCTGTGTGACCAAACCTGATTATGCTTTAGCCAGGTGAATTCTACCAGCTTTTTCCCGATGAGTCCCTGAGATTCCATCTACTGCAAAGGTCTGCAGGCCCTACATGGGTGGCAGCTGTCCTTGGTATACCTGAGACTTTTGCTGTGGTCTAAGGCTCAGCACTAGTACCAAAGATTAACCTGGTAAACACCATTCACTGCATCCTGTTGATTCCCTGAGGCCCTGCCTCACCCAACTCTCATAACTATACTGGCCAAGGTTCTTTCCATGGCTGAGTATTATAGGCAGCCAGCTGGCAGGTAGTGGCATGTTTTGGGGTGCCTTGGGCCTTTTGGTGACCTACTCATGGCTCAATACTGGTGGCAGCCAGCCTTGAATCACAGCATGGCATCTCCTGCATACATCCAGGCCCAGCCCAAGCAACTACTACCTGCAGATCACTTTGTAGCTACTAATAGGTATTCCTGGGCTGGTCATAGTCAGTGTCTGACATTGGATTGCCCTGGAGTCTGCAGAGGCCCTGGAACCAATATGCTCAGTAGCTAGATTCAGACCACAACAGAGCACTACCCAATTAGCTCCATAAGAGAGAATCTTGGCAGGACACAGACCCTGTGGGGTGAATCCCACTCCCCGAGGGTCAGCCGCCACAGAGCAGCTTGTAAGTTGTGGTCATACCCAGTACTCACAGCCAGTCAGCTTGAGGGTCGGTTTCACCCACTGACGTGCCAGCAGCAATCAGGGCTCAACTACAGCAGGAGGGCACACACAACCCACACGAGGGATGTTCCTGGAGCATCTAGCTCAGGTGATCAGGGAGACTGTGCTGTTGGGCCTCACAGGACGCCTACTTCATAAGGCCACGCTGCCGAGACTGGGAGATGTAACAAATCTGCCTAATACATTGAAACAAACACGAAGAGGCAGCCAAACTAGGGAAGCATTGAAACATATCCTAAATGAAAGAGGAGATAGCTCCAGAGAAAGAACTAAATGAAATGAGGCAAGCAGTCTACCAGGTACAAAGTTCAAAACACTGGTTATAAGGATCCTCAAGGAACTTAGTGAGAACTTCCACAAAGAAATAGTAAGCATAAAAAAGGACATAGAAACCTATTTGAAAAACTAATTACTGAAAACTTCCCTACCCGGGGGAAGGACATAGATGTACTTGTCCTGGAAGCACAGAGAGTCTTAAACAAGAGGGACACGCAGAGTTCCACACCAGGACACATCATATTCAAGTGGCAAAGGTTAAAGACAGAGAGAATCCTAAAAGCAGCAAGAGAAAGACAGTCAGTTATATACAAGGGAGTTCCCATAGGACTGTCAACTGATTTCTCAACAGAAATTTTTTGGGCCAGAAGGATTGGCAAAAAATATTTAAGAGTAAGGACCTAGAACCAAGACTGCTCTACCCAGGAAGAGTATCAGTTAAAATTGAGGGAGAGAGAAAGAGTTTTCTAGATAAGAAAAAGCTAAAGGACTTTATCACCACCAAATTTTATATAAGAAAAGTGGAGGGAAAGGAAGATAAATATGAATAATAAAATGACATTAACTACATACCTGTCAATCACTTAAAATGTAAGTGGATTAAATGCTGCAGTCAAGACATAGGGTGGCTGAATGGATAAGAAAACAAGCCTCATACATATGCTACCTATAAGAGACCTCACTTCAGATCGAAAGACACATATAGACTGAAAGTAAAGGGATAGAAAAAGATATTTCATGAAAATGGAAATGAAAAACAGCCGGGATAGCAATACTTACTTTTTAAAATATATTTTATTGATTATTGCAGCTGTGCCAATTTTTCCCACTTTGTCCCCCTCCATCCAGTACCCCCCATCCCATCTGGCAATTCCCACCCTTAGTTCATGTCCATGGGTCATGCATGTCCATGGGTCTTTGGCTACTCCATTTCCTCTACTGTTCTTAATAATGCGCTGTCTTATTTTTCACCTACCAGTTTGTACTCCTTAATCCCCACACCTTTTCCCCCATTCTCCTCCTCCCCCCAACTGATAACCCTCCAAATGATCTCCGTATCTATGATTTTGTTTCTGTTCTGATTGTTTGCTTAGTTTGTTTTTTAGATTCAGTTGTTGATAGTTGTGAGTTCATTGCCATTTTAATGTTCATAGTTCTTCTTTTTCTTAAATAAGTCCCTTTAACATTTCATATAATAATGGCTTTGTGATGGTGAACTCTTCTAGCTTTACATTGCCTGGGAAGTTCTTTATCTGCCTTTCATTTCTAAATGATAGCTTTGCTGAATAGAGTAATCTAGGTGGTAGGTCCTTGCTTTTCATTACTTTCAGTACTTCTTGCCAGTCCCGTCTAAGGGACTGCAAAGTTTCTTTTGGGAAATCAGCTGACAGTCTTATGGGAACTCCTTTGTATGTAATGATCGCCTTTTCTCTGGCTGCTTTCAAGATTCTCTCTTTATCTTTAACCTTTGGTATTTTAATTATGATGTGTCTTGGTTGTTCCTCTTTGTGTCAGTCTTGTTTAGGACTCTCTGTGCTTCCTGGACTTGTATGTCTGTTTCCTTCACCAAATCAGGGAAGTTTTCTTTCATTATTTTTAAAAATAAGTTTTCAATTTCTTGCTCTTTCTCTTCTCCTTCCAGCATGTTGATATGTTTGAAGATGTCCCAGAGACCCCTTAGCCTATCCTTATTTTTTTGGATTGTTTTTACTTCTTGCTGTGTGATTGTTTTTTTCTTCCTTATGTTCCAAATCATTGATTCGATTCATGGCTTCATCCACTCTATTGTTGGTTCCCTGTAAATTTTTCTTTATTTCACTTAGTGTAACCTTCATTTCTGCCTGGGTCTTTTTTATGCTTTAAAGTTGCCAATGAGTTCCTTGATCAACCTAATAACCAGTGTTTTGAACTCTGCATCTGATAGATTGCTTATCTCCATTTTGTTTAGTTCTTTTTCTGGAGTTTTGTTCTGTTCTTTCATTTGGGCCATATTTCTTTGTCTCCTCAATTTGACAGCCCCCCTGTGTTTGTTTCTGTGTATTAGGTGAAACTGCTTTGACTCCCTGTTTTAGTACCATGGCCTATTATAGAAAAGTGCACCAGTAAGTTGGATGGGGTGGAACAATAATTAATTGCCAGGGCAGGGCAACCTGTGTTGCCACTCTGTAGCTGTGTGTAGCGGAGTGCTCTGAGAGGAGACATTGCCACTACCTGGCCTCTGAACTTTCGTCCAGGAGGGACCTGTCACCCAGCAGTTGCCCTGATGCCAGTTACTTCAGTTTCTCCCCATATGCCCCTGGTACCCTTCTAACTTTGTATTGCTGAAACCCAGAAGGAGTGAGTCTGTGTAATTCCTAAGTTCATTGCAAGCCTTTTGAGAGGACACTCCTGAGAACCCCACATTTTCTTCCATTGCCCCAGCCTCCACTTGTTTTTACAGCCAGAAGTTATAGGGATTTATCTTCCTGGGATAGCTAGAACCCTGGAAACATTAGACCAATGCTAGAACCCTGGACTGGGTGGTTTGGTGTGGGGCTGAGATCTCTTGCTCCCAAGGTATTGCTTCTGACTTTTATCTACCATACGTGGGGTGGGACTGCTGGTTCCGCATCTCCAC